AAAAAAAAAAAAGAATCACTTGGCTAGGGGCTTCTGGTCAAAATGAGGAAGCCTTGGGCTGCATCCTCACTCACTCTAATTCAGCAAGACTGATTTGAGGTCTAGAAATCTGTATTTTAAATAAGAATCCCAGATGATGCAGCTATGAGTAGTCTAGGGCCCTGACTTAGAGACCCACTCCTCTGGCCCTCGTGCTTCTGAGAACACTGCCTGATGTTGTACTAACTTTCATAAGGTAACTACACTATACTGTAGGATTATGTTGGATTTACAGCCAGTGAAAAGCACACAGGCCTGCCTATGAGCTTCATTTCTCCCATTCTATCTATTCCTCTGGGACCCATGGGAAGGAATTTGCATTTCTCCTGAGGAAGGTCAGCTTATTAAATTTGGCCCATCCTTCTGATACATCAGGGTCACTTTGGATACTTACTTTGTAATCCCTTAAGGTGGATATTCCTCCCAGGTTAGAACCATCAGCAGCCATGTCTGGTGTGCTTGCTATATCCTCATCTGCAAATGGGAAAGGACTCTTTATTGGCCAGGATGGATGACAGAGCCTACACCCACTGCCAAGATCTCTTTCCAACAGTCCACCTCTTTTGGACCCAGTTCTGGGTCCATTCGACCCAAAAGTATGTCTCTAAAGACAGGAGGGTAATGTTAACCAAAAGAATGTGTGCCCGATGGTGGCATTTCAGACTTTGTAGTACCTCGGTGGAGCTTACTCTGCTGGGTGCAAACAGGTATAGAACCAGGAGGCAATGTTCTTGGCTGGACTAGTTACCTCCCCTCTGACGGGGTCTGGGCTGCTGACCACAGCAGCCTCCAGAACAACAGGGTGCTCAGCAAGGGCATTTTCCACTTCAACGGGCCCAATCCGGTAGCTGGAAGAGAAAAACAAACTCTTCCAAGTGACTGCTTCCCACCTCCCCCGCGACGAAGCTTCAAAAGCAGAAGGACAGAGCAGTCAGCTTGACCTTGAGGAATTGATCACATCATCATTTATTCCTGTGAACCAAAAGTAGCCATCCTTGTCCTTGTGGCCTCGGTCCCCCGTGATGTGAAAGTCCCCTCGTTCTGATGCCTCTGTCTTCTGAGGATTGTTCTGGAAGACAAAGTAAGTATGTGAGGGGCCATCTTGGCACAGCCACTCAAGCCAGCTACAGCCCTCGAAGGCCCATGCAGGAGGCTGGGGACCCCTAAAAGCAGTTCCAAGAGACCATGCTGGCCACAATTTCCCACTGGACGAGGAGCTGTGAATTTGTGCATTTTTCTCTCTTTTAAATGGAAGGAGATGCCAGGAAATGATTAAGGACAGCCACTTGCTACCATCCCTTGGAAGGGTCCGAGGAAGCATAGTTGAATGCAGGAGGGTGGACACAGGGCCATTGGCTCTGTTTTTTAGGATAAAAGAACACACTGATACTCTTTGTGCTCAGGAATCACTGAAGGTAGAAAGTGAGCAGATGTCCAAAAGACAAGAGGAGAGGAAGGAGGAAAAACTAATCAAACTCTGAGTCTCAAAGCTTTCAAGAAGCTACTACTCAATAAGAAAAAAACAAATTACTGCTGTGTGCAACTATCCAGGTATGTCTCAAAACACACAGTTATGCTGAATAAATGAAACCAGACAGGGAGTTAAGACGGCAGAGGATCAGGGGCACCCTAAGCTTGTCTCGTCCCTCGAATACAGCTAGATAGCTATAAATCATTTGGAACACCTAAGAAATCAATCAGAGGTCTGAGAGAACAAAAACTGCAAGTCCACAAGTAGAAAAGGGGCCACCTTTTGGTAGGTAGGAGGTGCAGAGGCTTGAATTTGGGGAGACATAGCTGTGGAGGGAGCGGCAGGGAGGGAGCCCACGGTGGAGGCTACCACAAAGTATTACAAGCAGCGGAGCACAAAATCAGAACTTTTAGAAGTCTGCTACCATGGGTACATGCCTGGCTTAAGGGTGCTCAGGTGGTGAAGCAGGGCAGAACTCACATGTGACACTGTGGTCTCAGGATCCTCTGGGTCGCAAGAAGAACAGATGGCACCTAAGTGCTGCACTGTTCCCAGGCACAGGAGTGTGGAAGCCGGCTGAGAACAGCCAGTCTAGGTGCTGGCTTTCTGCTCTGTTTTGCCATAAACTGCGAATCACTCCGAGGTCCTGTGACCTCTTTCCTGGGACAGGCCTGGCAAACAGCAGAAGCGTGGGGGAGGAACAGTACAGTCCAACCTGCAGGAGTCCCTAAGATTTGGAGTTTTGAAATTCAGTTGCATGCCTGAGATAAAAAGCTCAGACACAGGCAGGGTGAATGCAGGGTTCTGATGGAAACCGGGGACACAAGAGTGATTGACTGCTTTTCTGTGAGGGCTCACTGAAGAGCTGGGGGCAGTAACTTTCAACTGTGGGACTGGAAGGGGGAGGGGGCTGCCATATTTAATTCGCCCATCATCACTGAAAGCCTTCAAGGAGCAAAACAGCACCACCTAGTGGAGTCCAGAGCTGCTTACACCAAGCCCTGCCTCCCTGCAAACTGGAGACCCATTTCCACTAAGTAAGTCCACCTCAGAATCGTGCAACAGGCCCCTCCCCCAGAAGACCAGCACAAACAACTCGCTCACACAAAGTCTTCTGATCAGAGAGGGCTGCAAAGCTTTAGCTCTAGGGGAAAATAGTATCTAGCCTCCTTTGTACTTTTATTCTTTTTTTTTTTTTCATTTATTTTCTTATTTTTTCAATTCTTTTTAAAAATTTTTTAATTTAAAAAATTTTTGTTTTTATATATACCATATATATATACTATTTTTTCATTTACCTTCATTATATTTTATTTTTTTCCTTTCTTATTTTGGGATCTAGATTCTTTTGACAAGCAGACCAAGACACACCCAGGATCTAGTTTTTTTGTTTTGTTGTTGTTGTTTTCTTTTTTCTTTTTCTTTCTTCTTTTCTTTTCTGGAGAAAATGATGATATGGAGAAATTCACCCCAAAAGAAAGAAGAGGAGGTAGAACTCATGGCCAGGGATTTAATCAATATGATATAAGTAAGATGTCTGAACTAGAATTTAAAACAACAATTAACAGGATACTAGCTGGGCTTGAAAAAAGCATACAAGACAGTAGAGAATCCCTTACTGCAGAGATAAAAGAACTAAAATCTAGTTAGACCAAAATTTAAAATGTTATAACTGAGATGCAATTCCAAATGGAGGGCATAAAAACGAAGATGGATGGATGAAACAGAAGAGTGAATCAGTGAATCAGAAGATAAAATTATGGAAAATAATGAGGTTGAAAAGAAGAGGGAAAGAAAGGTGATGGACCATGAAGGTAGATTTAGGGAACTCAGTAACTTATTAAAACATAGTAATATTCAAGGAAACAATGGCTTTGAATGACACACTGCACCAGATGGACTTAACAGATATATTCAGAACATTTCATCCTAAAGCAGCAGAATACACGTTCTTTTCGAGTGCACATGGGACATTCTCCAGAATAGATCACATACTAGTCACAAATCAGCTCTCAACAAGTACAAAAAGATTGAGATCATACCATACCTATTTTCTGACCACAATGCTAAGAAACTAAGAAGTCAACCACAAGAAAAAATTTGCAAAGACCACAAATACATGGAGGTTAAAGAACATCCTACTAAAGAATGAATGGGTTAACCAGGAAATTAAGGAAGAAATTAAAAAATACATGGAAATGAATGTAAATGAAAACACAATAGTCCAAAACCTTTGGGATGCAGCAAAGGCAGTCCTTGAGGGAAGTATACTGCAATACAGGCCCACCTCAAGAAGCAAAAAAAGTCTCAAATACACAACCTAATCTTACACCTAAAGAAGCTAGAAAAAGAATAGCAAATAAAGCCTAATGCCAGCAGAAGAAGGGAAATAATAAAGATTAGAGCAGAAATAAATGATATAGAAACAAACAAAAAACCCCAGTAGAATGGATTAACAAAACTAAGAGCTGGTTCTTCGAATGAATTAATAAAATTGATAAACCCCAGCCAGACTTATCAAAAAGAAAAGAGAAAGGACCCAAATAGAGAAAAATCACAAATAGAAGAGATCATAACCAACACCACAGAAATACAAACAATTATAAGAGAATACTATGAAAAATTATATGCCAACAAACTGGGCAACCTGGAAGAAATGGACAAATTCTTAGAAACCTACAAACTACCAAAACTGAAACAGGAAGAAACAAAATTTGAATGGACCCATAACCAGCAAATAAATTGAATCAGTAATCAAAAATCTCCCAACAAACAAAAGTCCAGGGCCAGATAGTTTCCCAGGGGAATTCTACCAGACATTTGAAGAAGAGTTAATAACTATTCTCCTCAAACTGTTAAAAAAAAAAAAAAAGAAATGGAAGGAAAACTTCTGAACTCATTCTACAAAGCCAGCATTACCTTAACTCCAAAACCAGACAAAGACCCCACGAAAAAGGAGAATTACAGGCCAATATCCCTGATGAACATGGATGCAAAAAGTCTCAATAAAATACTAGCAAATCAAATTCAACAGTACATTAAAATAATTATTCACCACGATCAAGTGGGATTTATTGCTGGGCTGCAGGGATGGTTCAATATTTGCAAATCAATCAACATGATACACCACATTAATAAAAGAAAGAATAAGAACCATATGATCCTCAGTAGATGCAGAAAAAGCATTTGATCAAATACAGAATCCTTTCCTGATAAAAACACTTAACAAAGTAGGGATAGATGGAACATACCTCAACATCATAAAGGCCATATACAGAAAATCCACAGCAAATATCCTCAATGGGGAAAAACTGACAACCTTTCCCACACGGTCAGGAATAAGACAAGGATGTCCACTCTCACCATTACTATTTAACATAGTACTGGACATCTTATCTTAGCCTCAGCAATCAGACAACAAACAGAAATAAAAGTTATCAAAATTGGCAAGGAAGAAGTCAAACTTTCCCTTGCAGATGACATAATACTCTGTAGAAAACCTGAAAGACTCCACCAAAAAATTGCTAGAACTCATACATGAATTCAGCAAAGTTGCAAGATATAAAATCATTGTTCAGAAACCTGTTGCATTTCTATATACCAATAACGAAGCAGCATGAAAATAAATCAAAGAATCGATCCCATTTGCAATTGTACCAAAAATAATAAGATACCTAGGAATAAACCTAACTAAAGACAAAAAAGATCTGTACTCTGAAAACTATAGAACACTTATGAAAGAAATTGAAGAGGACACAAAGAAATGGAAAAACGTTCCATGCTCATGGATTAGAAGAACATTGTTAAAATGTCTATACTACCCAAAACAAACTATACAGTTAATGTATCCCTATCAAAATACCACCAGCATTTTTCACAGACCTAGAACAAACAATACTAAAATGTGTATGGAACCACAAACACCCTAAATAGCCAAAGTAATCCTGAAAAAGAAAAACAAAATGAGGCATCACGATTCCATATTTCAAGCTATGTTAAAAAGCTGTAATCATCAAGACAGTATGATACTGGCACAAAAACAGACAAATAAATCAATGGAACAGAATAGAGAACCCAGAAATGGACCCAAAACTATATGGTCAACTAATCTTCAATAAAGCAGGAAAGAATTTTCAATGGAAAAAAGACAGTCTCTTCAACAAATGGTGTTGGGAAAACTGTACAGCAATATGCGAAGAGTGAAACTTTCTTACACCATACACAAAAATAAATTCAAAATGGATGAAAGACCTCAATGTGAGATAGGAAACCATCAAAATCCTAGAGGAGAACACAGGCAGAAACCTCTGACTCGGCCGTAACAGTTTCTTACTAGACAATGCCAGAAAGGAAAACAAAAGCAAAAATGAACTATTGGGACTTCATCAAGATAAAAAGCTTCTGCACAACAAAGGAAACTATCAACAAAACTAAAAGGCAGCTTACGGAATGGGAGAAGATATTGGCAAATGACATATGTGATGAAGGGTTAGTATCCAAGATCTATAAAGAACTTCTCAAACTCAACACCCAAAAAACAAACAATCCAGTTAAGAAATGGGCAGAAGACATGAATAGACACTTTTCCAAAGAAGACA